AGGGGGGAGAGGGGGGGAGAGGGGGGAGAGGGAGGAGGGACGGAGACAGAGACACACAGAGAGAAAGAGAGGGAGAGGGAGAGAGAGAGAGAGAGAGAGACTGCAAATTTGCTTTCAAACAGATAACCTAAGGCAGGGGTCCCCAACCTGTAGGCTGTGACCCACAAGTGTTGTCATGGGCACTCAAGGCCCCACTTGCACGAGCAGCAAGTATTCGTGCACAAGCATGCTCACATGCATGCGCCTGCCCCTCCAACAAAACCATTCCCTCTTCCCCCCGCCCCCCCCCCCGGGCTCCCCTCCTGGCTGCCAAACCAGAAAGGTTGGGGAACTCTGACCTAAGGCAACGGTCTCCCACCTTTCCAGTTGAGCAGAAGCAGCAGTGGCAGCAGCGTGGGGGGTGGGATGGGGATGGTTTCACACATGTGCTGTTTTCACAAATGCAGCTACATGTGCACGTACAACAGTAGTGGATTAAGGCTCACTGGTGCCCTAAGCACAGTCAAATCTTGGTGCCACTCTCCTTTGTACATACTGTACAAATGTTGTGGTTAGCCAGCAGCAGGTGCAGACGGCTGAGGAGAGGGAGGACTCAGATGAGGGGCCAGGACTATCAGGGAGTGGACTGCTGCCTTCAGAGATTGTGGTGGCTGGCAGCAGCGATGAGGAGGTTCCCAGGGAGCCTGTGCCAAGTGTGCGTGCGCACAGGGCTGCTTGCAGGAAAGAGCAGCTGCAGCAGCATGGGCAACTTGGGAGTAAGTCTGCAAAGTAATGCCCCCCCTTCAGGAAGATAAAAGCCAGCTGTGAATCGGACGTTCTTTGCAGGAAGCAAAGACGTCGTGGACATTGCAGTATCTTCATTGGTATTTGAAGACTCTAGGTAACCTTATCTGTTATTCTTGGCAACCTTGCACAGTTTTGGTGAGGCTTGTGCTTATCAAAGTTAATTAGTTTGCAGCAGCCTTTTAACCGGGGATTCGTAAGAATCATTAAAAGGTTTCTCTTCCCTTTGGTTCGTGTTTGTTTTTTAGAAAAGGGTTTGGGTCAGAACAACAAATGAAGCCATATTCTCAACTTTGGGGCGACCCCTTTGGGCCTGGTGCCCTAAGCACATGCTTAGTCTGCATAATGGTTAATACACCACTGTAAAACATGCATGCGTTTACCCAGCCCTTTCGAGGCCCAGTTCCGAATGGTGCTGTGGCTCAGAACTGGGCCATGGACCAGGGATTGGGGGCTCCTGGCCTAAGAGAAATTTGGGAACAATGGTTGGTGCATAACATGTTGCTTGGTGGAATAACCAACAATGAGCAATTGACATAATAGAGATTACTTGCCCTCTGCAGATCAAGTTTTCAGTGGCCATAAAGGGCTATAACCAAATATACATCATTGTAAATATTATGTATGGAAAAAATATCTTTTCTTGTTTATTTAAATCTCAAGGCAGCCTAGAAAAATGAAACAATCCATTTCCAAAGGTAATACAAATAGTCTTCAACTTACGAACACAGTGGTGACCAGAATTCCCTTTGCAGCTGTTAAGTGAATCACACCTGATTTTACAACCTTTTTTTGCACCTGGTTTTATGATCTTTTCTGCACTTGGTTTTATGACCTCTTCTGACCCAATTGTTAAGTGAATCACTGCAGTCGTTCAGTGAATCACATGGTTGTTAAGCGAATCCAGCTTCTTCTATTGACTTGGCTCATTGGAAGCCATCTGGGAAGGTTGTAAGTGACGATTCCATGATCCTTGGGCCCTGTAACCATCATAAATCTATATCAATTGCCAAGCGCCTGACTGGGGGGGGGGGGGGGGGGGGGGGAATGCCACAATGGTCATAAGTGTGAGGACAGGTCATGAGTCACTTTTTTCAGTGCTGTTGTAACTTGCAGCTGTTGCTTAAAAATGGTTGTAAGTCAAGGACTACTTATGTCACTGGAAGCTGCCGATAGAAAAAGCCATCTGAAGGATGTGTTTTCTGAAAAGTTCCCAAGCTATATCAAGACATTCTCTGGGAAGGGTGTGTGTGTGTGTTTCAGATACCACCAAGGGCAGGTTTCATAGTAGGCTTTAGAACAGAGAAGGTTTATTTTGTCTAGTCACCGAATGGTAATCTGGGAGCCCTAGCTCTGAATGGAAGATTTCTCTTAAGCTTTTAAACAGTGATGGTGTTGGATGAAAATGGAAATGTTGAAAGGCAACCTGACATTTTACCTTGTGAAATTCTGATTATTTGAAGAGCTCCAGTCCCTAGAGAAAAGCAAGCTGGCCTTTGAAACAAACTTTGAAAGCTGCTTTGGTTCTCCAGCTCATAATAACCACTTAGTCACATAACCTTTCTGTGTAAACAAACTTTGGCCTGACTGGTGGTGCAAAACAATTTAAAGGTTGTTGTGACTTGCCTTCTGCTAGCAGAGTTGTGAGATAAGGTGTGAGGACTCCAACAAAT